TCATAACTCCATTCAGGTGAATGTTTCGCAGATATGATAGAAAAACTAGGAGCCAGCATTCAAAGGCACATTTTTTGGTGTACAAATCATTATGAATGGTCACGGCATCCAAGTATTCTTCCCCTGTTAGTTACCGGGTTTTGATGGAAATCTCTGTCAAAAGCTTCGGTAGCTCTGTGCCGCAAGGTTCTAGCCCGGCCGGCACGGCTGCGGTGCTCTGAACCTTGGACTGTAGACGAAAGAACACTTGCTTGCTATGACTTTTTGAGAACAATCAGTTAGTCACCAAAAACTGAAGGTTGATAATCATACACCTATACACTAAACATAAGCTGTGGTCATCTGGCCTAGTAGGTAACAGGAAATTTGGCTGGTGATGTTATACGCTGATCTATTCATTCCCACTTGTAAAGCTAATTAGCTTTCAGTGGAGTTGATACCGTAGGCCTGCTCCGATTCTTGCACGTTCCAGATGTTTTCATCCAGAAAGTTGAAAATGTACCACCAAGTGCTGGAGCAATAGTCGTGGCTTTGATATTGTACAAGGTAAGATCTGTTTTCTGGTTAAATATCTTGTTTCACTCAAATTCGTTTGATCAACTAATTAAGCTACTTTTGGTATTTCCGTCTTTATTAAGAAGAAATTTCTTAAGTTCAGACCTTGATCGGGACCTGCACATGTAAATATTTCAGGTGGCAACCCCTCTACGATATGCAACCACCCTTGTATTCATTCAAGCAACGTTTTCTATATTACGGCGAATGGGGAAGCTTCGGACTGTACGCGAAGTCGAATACAAGGTTTGTATGTAAATAACATCGAAATGAAATTTTTTTGTCATTTGAGACAGCGTATTCATATTGTATTCGTTCTCGAACGCGCAAGCATTCAGATGAGTTTTTCATGCTTTATAATTGCGGACACCCCATGTAGCAGCGCCCAAGTCTCAGCAAATGTTGAATTCATAGCGAGAAAACGTTTCAAAGATAGAAGCGGCCATCAGGTCCTCTCATCGGACTGGGTATTCTTAAGATAGTCCACACTTGCGGTTCAATGTATACAGAATTCATATATCCATCCATCATTATAATCACCAGCTTTGCGACTTCTCCGCATCCCTCCAAATTTCGAAATTAAATTTTCAGACTATCCACGGTGGTGGGCGGAGGCTGTGGCCGCTTCTGCCTTCGGGAGCGTTTTTTTTTCGCTTTTGTTTCCATCTTTTGCAGTGAGACATACGGCTATATTTATCAACAAACCCAGTAG